AACAATGATTTTTATTTTCGTTTTTAAGTGTATGTATATGTGTGCGCATTTGTGCATGTGAGTGCCGTGCCCATAGAGAGCAGAGGGTGTGGGGTCACCACAGCTGGAGTTACAGGCAGCTGTGAGCAGGCTGAACTCAGGTTTTCAGCAAGAGCGGCGCTCTCAACCACTGAGCCATCTCTCCAGCCCCTCAGCTTCCTATAGCGTCTGCTCATTTATTTTTCTTATTGAGGACAAACTATTGATATAGAGGCTAACACTTCATCCATCCCCCATCTCATCATGGGGATGCTTTGGGTTTTTAATTCATATACAGTTGTATCTATTGGTGTTTTAGGAAATTGCATATTTTCTTTAAACAATTCTATCTCTATGATTTCTAAAAACTTTCTGTTCTTGTCATGCTCTATAAGAAGAGGTTGGAGCTGGGCGTGGTGGCACATGCCTTTAATCCCAGAACTTGGAAGGGAGAAGCAGACAGATCTCTGTGAGTCTGAGGTCAGCTTGGTCTATAAAGCAAGTTCTAGGACAGCCAGGGCTGTTACACAGAGAAACCCTGTCTCAAAAAACCAAAGGGTGAAAAAGAGGATGGAACAAAAGGAAAGAAGGGAACAAGAGACATCCCTGTCCATTGTCTCATTTGGGTGTGAGGCTCCGTTCAGAGGGCCTGCCCCGAAGAGGGAGGGTGTAGTTAGTGTAGCTCAATGGCAGAATGCTGCTCAACATGCGCAAGGTCCTGACTTCATTCTCAGGACCATTCTAAAAATAACAAAACCCCTAACTTCTCAAGAGACATGAAAGACACATTTAGTGACTCACAAAAGAAATAGAAAACACTTGGAAGTCTTGTTCAAGTTCGTACTCGGATCCAGCAGTCCCAGGGCAGGGCTGAGGAGTGTTTTGCATCGGTCCCCAGGTGGAGCTGATGGTCCATGGGTATCTACACCAGTCAGGCTTTAGATTGTAACAAGGGTTAGCCAAGTGTGGCAGTGCACACCTGTCATTCCTGCAAGATAAGCAGGAGAAACATTGTGAGTTTGAGGCCAGGCTTTGCTACACAGGCCAGCCTGCCCTACAAAATAACACCCTATTAATCCATCCATCCATCCATCCATCCATCCATCCATCCATCCATCCATCCATCCATCCATCCATCAATCAAACCTAACAAGGGGAAGATGCCGATGGTCTTAGTGACAGCTCTAACTTGGGGGGTAGGGATTCTTCTCTCTGTAATTATTCAGAGTTTTGGAAACTCTACTTTCTTAGAAAGTAGAGAATCACTTTTTTTTTCTTTCCATGCTAGGGTTTGAACACGTGACCTGTATGCATGCTGGACATATGTTCTACCATTGAGCTATATAGTTGGCCTTCTTTTTATTTTGAAACAGGATCATTAAGCTCCAAGACTGGCCTTGGATTTGCTGCCTTTGTGCCTCGGCCACTGGAGTAGCTGGGGTGACAGGCTTGCATTACCAGGTCTGACTTACAGTTCATTTTTGAAAGGGAAAATGAATTCTGGGTCTTGGTGTCATGAAATATGTAGCTAAAGGGTATTAAAGGAGGACATGCACAACTAAAATGTTCATTTTTGAGGGTTTTGTTGACTGGGTAAAATTAAAGTGAAAGGTTAATTGGTGTTTGGGGAGAACTGTCACAAGCCTGTTTTTCTAGTTCTTCTCCCCAGCACGATAAACAGCCCTTTTGTATTACTTTGCATTTTTAAGATCTTATGTTACTGTGTGAGTTCCTTGTATGGTCTGTATGATGATCCTGGAACCAGGCTGTAGGCAGCTAACCCCAGCCATCCTCTTGTCTCTAGTCTCTGCAACACTGGGGTGGTAGGCTCTCATGGCGGAACCTGGCTCTTTACTTCCGGTGTTGGGGATTCACGTCCAGTGCTTACGTAGCATGCCCTCTTCCCCACTGAACTTATTCCCCAGCCTCTATTTCAGACTTCTGAGACAGGATCTCACCACATAGCTCAGGCTCACCTTGAAATGGCGATCCTCTTGCCCAACCTCCCATGTATTGAGATTATAGACATGTAGCACCACACCATGCCTGGCTCTCTCAGTATTATTATTAATTGTTATTATTTTGTACACTTGTCCAGATAGTGACTAATGGGTCTTGTAAAAGGCACATAGGCTGGTGGGGGAAAGACTTGGAGGAGGACTCTGGAGACCCAGATTCTTGCTCTGGGTTCAGCACGGTTGGTTTGCATATATTAAACCTTTCTGGTTTCATTTCTTCTGCTGCAGGATGGAGACCGTAATAGAGCCTCACTTTCCCAGGACGATACTGAAATAAAACATTTCCCTGAGGGGTCCCCAGACCTTCTCTGTAGCAGTGACATCTTCTATCTTGATCTCCCATAAACCGACCGTACCCTGACTCGGGTTTTGTCTTTTGCAAGCAAGTTTGCATGAAGGTTCCTGCTAACTGCCAGCTAAATCACAGCGAAGAAAGAGGCTGTGGACATTTCTGGAGTATGCAAAAGTCAAGAAGCTGCTGGAGTCCCATTGGTGCCCACGCTAGAAGAGTACAAGAATATATGTTATAGGCATTTGGAAAAGCTGAGCTGCAGGGCAAACTTGGGCCTGGCAGAGTGAGTGTGTTTCATGGCAAGCATTGCCACATGGGAACAGGGGAAGGGAGACGAGCCTTTATTAAGTGTGGATTAGGTCATTTTCTTGCAACAGACTTTTGAGATGGGAATTATTCCCAACTTTTTTCCAGAAACTCATTCAGCAATTTGCCCAAATTTCACAACTTGGAAGAGCAGAGCTAGCCCACCAGGTCAAATCTGCACCACAGTTATACACTCAACACCCGCTCCCCCCCATCTGAGAGCAAAGTGGAGGTGCTTAAAGGTGGGGAGGAAAAGATCTGCACCCTTGACCTTGGACAGGTCATGTCACCTTTGTAAGCATCAATGACAACAGTTTGGTGGGTGAGATGGTGCTGCTGGAGAGCCCCGAGTTCCTTGAGCACAGCAGATGTTGCTCATTTATCCATGCTCCTGGCTTTTACATAATCCTGTAAGTTTGTAAAAGCCTACATAGTTGGCAACAGAAATTACAAACACCGCCTCCCTCTACTCCCAGTCAAAATCCACATGTTCTCAGGGTGCCAGGGCTGAGGGGACACTTCTCTTCTCTGGCAACCATTGCCCTTTTAGGAGCCTTGGCACCTAGAGAACAGGGCACATTTTGGCTGCATTTTTATTCCTTTTTTTTTTTTTTTTTGGTAGTTTGTTTAGGAAAGGGCGAAAGGCAAAGACTGGATTCTCAGTTCCTAACTCACTATCTCCAACTGCCACCATCCCTGGGCCTCAGTTTCCCCACCTTTCCTTAGCTGTTTGTAGATACTGGCCAGTGTCTAGAGTCAGCTCAATACAAGGGCTCTGCAAACAGGAATTGGCTCTTACAATTCTCAACCCCTTGCCTGGGGCTTTTTGTTGGCTGGGACAATCAACACAACAGTACTTTTAAGTTGACACAGCGCACTTTCTAGGGAGCCAGCGCCTTGCTGGGCACACTCCCTGTCTCCTTGGCCTTCTAATCATACATGACCTCACTCAAACACCGTCACATGCTCTCCGCCAACTCCCAGCAACATAGGACTGGACTGTCACCTCCCAACTCCTCTCCCAAAAAAAAATCTCAGCCTCTTGGCTCCAGCGTGCTGAGTTCACCCCATAAACTCAGCTAATGGATACCACATGCTGCTAAGGGTCCGCGCCCAACCCCACCCCTCCACCCCTGAAGGCTCCCCAGACCCTGGGATGTCTGATCCTTCCCCCACCCCTCCAGATCCTCCCACGGCACAACGGGAAGCGCCCTGTGCTGTGGTCCTGCAGGCCACGCATGACCTTGGACGCCTCTCCAAAGCCATGTCCACTCCTCGGAACAGGCTGAGTGTTTGCACCCCCTGGGTGCCTCCGGTTGCTGGGAATTGCAAACTCGATCGCGCGCCTTTCGCCTTCGCAATGACAGCAACTTGGCTCACCACCCCAGCACCAGAGTCCCTGGCTGGAAGCAGGGAGGCTCCCCGGACTCATGGAGGGGTGTGCCCACCCGCCCTCCGCTCGCGGATCCCTCTGGAACGCCTGGGCCTGCGATGCCGGGGGCCGCCACACCTGTCATCCCACCCGCAGGACTCCAGGGCCCCCGGGTGTGGGAATAGGCACCGCCCCGCCTGAGCACACCCCAGCAGACATGCCCGCCGGGGAAGCGCGTGCCGAGACGGCGCGCCGGCTGCAATCCCCGCTGAGGGTCCCTAGGGGGCGCAGCGGGCGCGGGAAGTCGCTCTGGGCCCCGGCACGAAATTGCAAGCGGGCGGGCGCGGCGAGTTTGAAAACAAGCGAGCACCGTGGGGGCGGGTCCCAGGCGCGAG